AACAATATGTATGAATCTAAATTTGCATTACAATGTTTGAATATATAAGGATCATGTTATATTTCAACTGAATGTTCAAGAATGTTGTTTTTCTACAAGAATTTACTTCAATCAAAATATGTACTCTATCAGAATATATTCTGACATTTTCATAGAATATCATTATAACATAATTGCATTCTAAAAGAAAAAAAAAATCGAGTAAAATTAAAAAATATGTTAGAATTAAAAATGAACTAATTAAAAAAAATCAGAGTTCAAAATTAAAAGAATCAATATCCCTTAAAATCCAAAATTTTCATTAATTAAACATGTGTTTCTTAATTTAAACATATGTCTCCTAATTTAAATATAGGTAAATCATTACTTAAAATAATTAATTAGAATACACACAATAATTAATTAGAATACAATAACCTATATCCACACAATAATTAATTAGAATACAATAACCTATATATATATATATATATATATATATATATATATATTTATATATCATTATTATATACAAAAACCTCATTGCTTGAGAACCCTCCATTTAAAATGAGAGGATGTTTAGAGGTTGACATGTGGGCAGCCTCCATATCAGCAAAAAGATCTAGCTGGATGTCACATGTTGGCTAAGTGGCGGTACACATCAGCCTAATATCTTGACATATAAGCATGGAAAAACTCCATTTGGATTTTGTACATTGAATCATCAGTCCACATCAGCTTTCCGCTCCTTCAAAACATCAGTTGCAAGCTGTCCTCCTTTACTTACCCACCGCCCCTTCCACTTCCTTCTTTCATGCCACGTTTCTTCCAAATTAACACTTGTATACCACCGCTTCTGTCAAATTAAAGAGATGGCTTCACCGTTAATTCACCAATAGTTTACTTCTACCGAGAAGGACATGATCCATTTTTCCTTTGAATCAACCGCCTCGATTCCATTGTCCCATTAAGAAAGACCACAGAAACTGAATGATTGAAGGTCTCCTTCTTTTCCTCTTCCTCTCATCCTGTTGACGATCAACCATCGGCATCGCAACGACCCATCATCATCAGATTGGTCGACCTCGTGTCGCTGCCTCAATTCCCCTCTGTCAGTCGACCATCTCATTGCAGCCCAACCACCATCATAGATTCATATAACATCAGCTTTTTTTATTAATCAAGTCTAAAATTCATGAACGAAGAGTTCAAGGTCATGAGAAATTGGTAATCTAATCTCCAATGGTTCATCTTCTTATTATAATTTGAAATTCTGCTTGGGATTTTTAGTTGAGTTAGCTAGCAGACTCAAAAATCTAATTTTTACTTCATATATGGTTAGTTTTTTTAATAACAACTTCAAGTTGTTTACACCTCCTTTTCTTCTATACTCTTTTAGATTATTTAAGAGTTAAGGTTTGGTCGCTTCTTCTCCCTTTTTCCGTTTGACTTTTCTTTGGAACCCAAATGACTTTCAGCACTTATAAAGTGGCCATTCTTTCTGCTTTTTTTTCCGATTAGCTGTTTTCATTTTTTGGAATTAGTAATAATCAAAATTACCTTTTGAAGCATTACATGTCTACCGATTATACAAGAAGCGACTTCATTATGGCATATGTGTCATTAGAAAATTGTAATCGAAGCTTTCTGAGTATTCTCTTTTTTCTGTTAAACTGATCAAACGTGCAAGTTTTCAACTCGGTTTGTATGAATTCTTATGCATTTTTTTATGAGCTCATGTCGGATGCCAATGGCATGTTTGTTGAAATGCCTCAAAGAAGTTTCTTATCTATGAAGACATTAATTAGCGGATATGCTAATATTAGTTGCAAATTATCTCCTATCTTCATCTTCTTATTTGAATTTTTGGTTCTTGGTTTTACTTTCTTATTTATTTTTTAATATTTGATTTCCTAGATGAGTTTCATGGAGTAGCGGAGGTTGCAATTGATGATGCCAAAGAAAATGAAGAGTGTTGCACTACATCCTACACAACATTGTGGTTTCTACCTTCCGGTACTTTGATTATTCATATAGTGTAAAGGAAATTAGTTATTTTGAAATAATCAATTTTTCTAGCCATTGATGTAGTTAATATGATTGTACCCCAAATGTTTTTAGTTCTTTAATGATTTTTTTTCTTTCAGTCGACCATAGAATGCAAATTACATAAAGTCGACAGGTGTATTTTATAGGAGGAAACATGATTCGTTGATGTTGTGAAGGTATGCCTCTTCTTCCATCTTTTCATTTCAAGTGTTTAACAATTAACAAATATTTTACATACTATTTAGGAATATTTCATTTTGCCTTTTTTTTGTATAGTTTTAGTGTTCATGCATTTTTTTATTATCACTTTTGATTACTGTAAAGTCGAAATCTAACTTCAGTTTTTTCTTGGTTTCGTGGTAATGTTTACATGATAAGGAAATAAAACAGGTGTTTGAGCTCATCTCTAGCTGGTTTAAAAGTAAGAGCCAAAACCATGTGCTTTGATATCATTTTTCTCCATATGTAAAAAGAAAAATAAATGAGCGTTTTTTTTAGAATTTTATAACATATGTGCAAAAAAGATTAACTATTGTAGTTGATAATGTTCGTACTAATTTGTTTGGGACATAGTGTTTATATGATTTTATGTGAAAAGTTCTTTTTCTGCAACTAAAATTCAATTAAATATAACTATTGGGTTGGATACCATATCATATTGTAGTATGGAGCAACTGGGAAGGAAGAACTGGAAATAACATTTGATTTGTTGGCTGCATGTGAGTCGTTGCAAGTACTGTCTCTTCAAACTCTCAAAATATATAGTTTGATATTTTCTTTCTAAAATAGGATAAATTTTTTGGGTAATTTCTAAGTTTTCTTTACTGTTGGTTGCGACAATGTATTTGTTTTATATCTTTTTTATACCATCATGCTTATTTCAAATATGTGAACATCTCTAAATATAGTATTTATGTAGTTATGAGCTTGGAAGCACGAGCACACAAGATGAGGGTTTATTTCAATTCTTATTGTTATTTCATCCTACTTCCAACAAAAATATTTGCAGGCAATGTACATTGGTCTTTAGCCGTTATAGCAATGTATTTTAACTTTTTTTATTTATAATAACAATTTACATTGAGTGGATTCTTCTTTTGTTATAGACTTAACTAAAATATTACACTCTTCGTGGGTCGTGCTTAGCACGGCTTGTTAACGTTGCTAGTATATATATATGATTAGCAGATTTCAAACAACTTTTTGAAATTTCATAATGTATTTTTTCTTCCATTCATAAGTGCAAAATCTAAAATATAGTTTTCTTTATAAACAAAAACTTTTGATGTGAATATCCAATGTCAAACAGTATAATCATTTTTAATAGCTCAAAAAATTATTATAATTGGTTAAGTCGTTATTTCTAAATGTATTATCCCTAAAGTAACTATAGATTTTAATAAACATATATTCTTAAATTAGACTTATTTCCCATTTATTTTACTTTGAATCATATTAAACACACAATAAAAAAATCATAAAGTACAATAATAACTTTACACTTTTATCTAGGGATATATACACTAAAGTCTCAATATTTTCATCGATTTGACAAGAAAGTCCTAAACTTTATTTTTTTGACAGTAAAGTCCAAACTACTGGCAATTTTTGACACTTTTACCCTTTTTTTCCCGGTTAGCCGGTAATTATGACTTTTTTGTCAAAAAAAAATAAAGTTTAGGACTTTCTTGTCAAATCGTCAATAAGGACTTTACTGACAAAAAAAATAAAGTTTAGGTCTTTCTTGTCAAATCGTTGAAAATATTGGGACTTTAGCGTATATATCATTTTTTTTGTTAGAAATTTAATGGTATGATACTCTTTAAGCATAAGAGTTATTGAAACATTTCTAGTCAGGTAGATCCTATTGAAATCCTTAATGTTTGCTTCTTGTTAAATCGTTCTTTTAATCTCAACAAACCGACATTGAAAAAAATGGAGATAATCAAGAATGAAAGAACCAGGGTTGTGTTGGCTTTTTGCAGTCCCAAAAATAGAGAAACAAGAAACCGAAAATAAAACAAAATTGCCATTTTTTCCCTTCTCCACATTCACACCCTTTTGACTAGGTATGTGTTGTTTGTGTTTGTATAATCTGTCCCCACTTTTTAGTTCAAGATTTAGCGACGAAGTAAGAAGAAAGTTTTACAAGTCTTTTCACCCTTGTAAAAGTTTCTTCTTGCTTCGCCGCCAAATCTTGAACTAAAAAGTGGGAACAGATTATACAAACACAAACAACACATGCCTAGTCAAAAGGGTGTGAATGTTGAGAAGGGAAAGAAGGGCAATTTCGCTTTTTTCGGTTTCTTATTTCTCCATTTTTGGGACTGCAAAAAGCCAACACAACCCTGGTTATTTCTTTCTTTCTTGATTATCTCCATTTTTTTTCAATGTCGGTTTGTTGAGATTAAAAAAAACTATTTAACAAGAAGCAAACGTTAAGGATTTCAATAGGATCTAGCTGACTAGAAAATGTTTCAATAACTCTTATGCTTAAAGAGTATCATACCACTAAATTTCTAACAAAAAAAATGATATATACACTAAAATCCCAATATTATCAACAATTTGACAAGAAAGTCCTAAACTTTATTTTTTTTGACAGTAAAGTCCTAATTGACGATTTGACAAGAAAAGTCTTTAACTTTATTTTTTTGACAAAAAAGTCCTAATTACCGGCTAACCGGAAAAAAATGATAAAAGTGTCAAAAATTGCCGGTGATTTGGACTTTACTGTCAAAAAAATAAAGTTTAGGACTTTATTGGGACTTTAATGTATATATCCCTTTTATCTACTTTACAAAACTTCATTACTTTAATATTTAAAGAAAATATCCGAAAATGTTGGTTGATGTAGTATTTCCTATGCTTGATATTATAATTTGAAATATCCCTTTTTCAAAATAACACAAAAGATCAATGAGATAAACAAGTGATCAAAATTTCTTCAATATATTTCCAAAAAGACTTAAGACACTATACATTTAGTCAACACTAAATTAATTTCTTCATTAACCCCCAAAAAAAAGTGTTCCCAATATCTCAAAAACAACAAATGAGTTAATATTAGCTCATTGTTTTTTCATGTAGCTCCAACTTCAGTTCCTTGATCTCTCTTCAAAAAGTTAAGCTGTGCTTGTTTTGTTCGTTTGACACCAACTAAAAATTAAAAAATAATCCATCAAAATTATTTTTATTTAAATTTGTTGGTGAAAATGAATAAAAAGATTGAAAAAAAAATATTATTACCTTTTTCTTTGTTTTGTTTATTGGATTCTACTACGGTTGATTTCCATTCCTCATATTTGTGGTTGTCCTGACGTTTACGTTTCTTATAGGCTGAAAGCTGCAACACATTCCAAAAAATAAATTAAATTTATTTAGAAACAATTATTGGATACTATATAAAATATAATTTGTATAATTTTTTATGAGTTTTATTAAAGTTTGTTTGATATTGTCATATTTGATTGAATCAAAAGAATAAAACGAAAATATAAAGAAAAAGAAAAATGTTACTATTATTTAAAAACATATTTTGATCAAATAAAGATACGTTGCTAAATAAATTACATATAAATAATATTTCATGCAGTTTGAGTATTATGATATATATGAATTTTAAATAGTCCAAAAAAGTTAACCTAACACTTTCAAAAAAGAAATTGCTTGCAAAAACAGATATATAGAATTAAACACCAATAGATCTAAAATATATTTATAATAAAAACTTTGTTTAGTTGTTTTTGGAAAACAATAAATACATAATTTAACTAAGTACTGAACTGTTTTTTTGTAAACAAACATTATTTTTTAAGTCCCATTATAATTACCCAATTCAATTCCCTTTGATTATTGCATTATAATTTGTAAATATGTATTTAGGATAAATTAAAAAGGTTATATACATCTTCGCCTTCATCAGATGAATAACCACCATCCCCAGTTTGCCTTTTTTCAGGTAAAACATCCAACAAATCTGCAAATTGCAAAATCAAGCAATGATTATAAACAAATGTACACAAATTAATTTGCTTGAATTCTTAAATAGAAGTAATAAAAAGTTGTTGTAAATGAGATTTTAATTTTTACCTCTGTTCCCTTTCACAGACTTTGGATCTTTCTTTTCTTGTGCAACTCCAAAGACATCATGACAAAGGTCTTTCATTGATGTACATACCTGAATTGATTCCAACATTAAGATTTCATACAAAGATTGATTATTGATATATGTATGTGTAGACATTATAAATGATTCTTACACTTGAAAATTCATCTTCAGATGATCCAGAAAGTTCAATCAACTTAGTTTTATCGACTTTGAGCTGTAAAAGTAACCAAATTAGTATCAAAATGATGAAATAAACGCTTAAATCATTATTCATTAAGACGTACCTTGTTTTTTTTAGCACACAAGTAAAACCCTGCAGCTGTGAACACAGGCTTTGAACAATCAGTGGTAGCTCGTCTCCAAGCAGGTAATGATGACATGAATCGATCTCTGTATCTGTTATGGAATCGGATTTAGACGTGGGAGATTGATATGTGTTATGATTTATGAGCAATGTAAAATGGTTGTTATTTGTTAATGGTGGATATGAACTTACAGTGATAGTCCTTTTTTAACAAGAGGGATGAGCCTAACACATCCAAACTGGATAGCTAATTCCCTAATATCAAGCCGATTCCTACAATTCATCGCAAAATGATTATTCGATGTTTGATCTGATGTATGTCAATGGAATAAAAAGTAAGATGAATAACATACATGACGCCAATCCCGTTCTGCATCACATTGAAAGATCTAATGTAAGCCTTCTCCGACATCCCACTCAACTTTATTGCGTTTTGACGATCAAATAGAACTTGCTTCCTACAGTTATTAGGGATAAACAATCAGATTCATCATCAAAAATTAGAACGAAAGAAATTAACGACCTAGAAATGAATACGTCATTCTCGAATTCGCACATACATGTTAGCAGCAATCTCGAGGCAGATGAGAGCTTTGCAAGTTTCTCCCTACATTTTTACCAAATGAAACATTGTGGAAAATTAGGCATGGCAAATCTACTAATACAAGACAACAGTAAATGAAGAAACATCGTAAAAGAAGCTAACTACTTACGATTCCGGCATTGGATGAGTCGAATTGAAGATCGGAGATGCGACGGAGCTCAGCGGCTTTACGGACGACTTGCTTCGATTCCTTAAGCCCTAACTTCCTTGCCATATCGGACAAATCCATTTCAAGAGAGCGAGGGGGGAAAGGGAAACAATCAGTATTTGGCTTTCTGTAATTGTTGTGGTGAATGGCGGAAGATGATATCGACGAGCTACCATGGCGGGAATATTGAATCTGGTGTGTTTCTAGTTTTCGTTTGCCGCCATTCCGAAAAAACCAGTAGACGCCATTTTTCTTTCCTTGCTTTTTTTTTTTTTTTTTTTTCAGTTTTATATTTTTCATTGGCAGGCTGTAATTAACTAATTATAATGTTAAAAGTATTAACATCCTCTTATTTGATTTTTAGCGCCAAAAGTGTGTAAGTTAATTGCCAATTAGCCCCCCAAACATTGATAAAATAACTTTGGAAAGTACAACATTATTAGGTTGGCCCAAAAGCAAATATATAATGTATGTGGTCCTTTAATATTTTAATTTTCTACTTATCTTATTTCATATGGTTTCAACTAGAGGAGTAAAAGCAAATATATAATGAATGTGGTCCTTTAATAATTTAATTTTCTACTTATCTTATTTCATATGGTTTCAACTAGAGGAGTACATTGGGATTGGATACTAGTCTTTGAAATTGAAACCCGTTCCAAAACTAACAATTTCGGAATTAGAACAGATGTGATTGGACTCGTTCGGTTTCCAAGGTTTGAAATCGGTTGAGATGGTCCTTGTTATGGTTTCGGGTTTTTTATATTGTTGCCAACTAGATATCCATCGAGGTTGGGGATTTATAATTTCTCATTGTAATTACTGTAAAATCGTAAATAGGCAAAATGAAACCAACTATATAATTACTTTCTACTATTATACATGCCAACAAATTGACAAACCAAATAAACAATAATCGGATGTGTATTTTGTATGGTGTATGCACTTGACTTTAGCATAAAAACAGCTGACACTAAAATATAATAATATATCAATTTATTTTAAGCTAATGGGGCTTATTTAACGTTTGGTTTAACACAATGTATTAATATTCAATAATTCAATGTATTAGTTAATTTATGTTTTTCTAATGTTGGATATTGTAGGCCAACGAGTTTTTTAATTTAATGAGAACAAATTATAAAAGTGATCCATGTGGTTGATAAAATATTACGGTTTCAGTCCAACTTCTTTTTGTAATAATTCGGTCCTTAAGTACTCAGTTTGTTGAAGATTCGATTAATGCAGCTCGCATCATCAAATTTCAGCCCTTAAAGTCCATCGCATACCTCCCATGCAAGGGTAAATTAGACATTTCCTCGATGTCTCTCATTCTCGAGCACTTGTGAATACCATGAATACATGGCATTATGTAATAGTTATGATGATCTAGGTGTCAGTTGTATAACACATTATTCATTTTTTATTAAGTTTGAAAGATCATCGTGTTAGGATCGCTACAGGTCCAAACATGTGCAACATAGAAGAAAAATATGGTTCCATTTTCTAAAACCAATTGGTGATAGAATAGATTACACATTGCCTTGTATGCTAGCATATAGTTGCTTTTTTATCGATGTGAGATTGAGTTTGCACACAAACAATCCTCCCCTCAAACCCAAGTTCCTCCTTGGTCTCCCATTCAACAATTGTTCATCTAATCTAATCCTTTTTCATATCGTCAATACTCTCGAGACACGCTCACCTGACCTGGGCCATCAGGAAGACTTTCGATACAAGGCTTCAAGATCAACTTCGTTGGGCTGGGATTGCGTCACCTGCGCAGACCACATCATCTGAGTTACGATCGTAGCTCATAACCCACTTGTTAGAATTGTTACTAGCACAACCATGCTCAATATAGAAGAACAATAAGGTTATATTTTCTAAAATCAATTGGTGATAGATAGGATTACCCATTGTCTTATATGTTAGCATATAGTTTCTCTTTTTACTATTGTGGGATTGAGTCTGCAAGATGAAAAAATGTTGTTGTCTAGAAGATACGAGGTGTTTTGTCTGGAAATGATGTTATAAATGTTTATGGTTGAATGTAATTTTTTGGTTTCATCTGTTGTTATCGTTTATTTTTTTTCTTATTTTTTGTTTGCTTTGATGGTCCTGTATGCTTTAATTAAAATGAATTTATCACATTTTCACCATTGATTTTGGTATTTTTTATATAATCAATTTTATATTTCATTATATAATATCATCATTTTTTTCATTAATTTACACATAAATAATGTTTTATGTATCTTAAAAAAAGATTTCACATATTTATTTGAATCAATCAAGATAAAATTACATAATAATCAAACAATTTTGTTACTTAATAATTTATTAAAAATAGTTGATTAATAATTATGACTTTTAGCCATCAAATTACATTTAATTTTGTAACCATGATTCTCACGGGTTATAATTTAGTTTATATTGTTGAAATCATATTACGGTGTTGGGCTTACTCTCTACTTTTTTCCTAAAAGTATGATAATTGTATCATTGATATTTGTGGCACCTGTATTTTGGACCTATAAATTTTACCCTAAAAGTGAATTTTGTAATAAATAACATTTAAACAAAAAAATTAATGATTAAAAACAAATCTAATATTTTAATTAATTATAAGATGTTGTGAAGTCATAGTTAAGGGTTTTATGTGTTGGTTTGTCTAACGAAGAGCAACACATGTTTGTCTTTTATTTAACCTGTTTAACATCAATAAGACTAATAACGTCAAGTTATTGTGTGTGCATGATTGGAGTAGTAACATAAAAGCTATTGATAAGTTTGGGGTCAAATGAGAAAAACTAAAAATTCAGGGACCAATATTATCAAGTTGAAAAACCGTGGGCTTAAACCCCCCAACTCTCCTCGATCTCCTTCATTTGAAACAATTTGAATAAGTATATTCTTAATATTTTTAATCTAATAAAATAAATTGGTTCACGAGTCAACTTGCGAAATTATTTGCAAACACAAACAAGACTCGTATAATAAATGAGTTAGTTGGTTGGCGAGTCAGAAAAAGTCAACTCTAACCCTTTTATCTTCGTGTCGTGTAGCGGATTGTGTCGAGAATTATCATCAGTGATTAATTCTAAATAAAGCTTGAATCTATGCAAAGCTTATCTACACCCAATTTTTTTGTTCTCCGTCTTGACTTTAATAAAACTCCATGTTTTATGGATGATTTTAGGTTTAGGATGAAGTTTTGATGATAGATTTATGATTAGGTTAAAAATATTGCATCAATTGTTAGATGTATTTTATGCATCTTTTAGGATATCTATTTCATGCATCGACATCATATTTATGCATTAAACCCCATGCTTTTTGCATATTTCAGGACTTGTATGTAAACTTTTGCTATTTTACAACCCAAAGAGATAAATTACATAAGACTTTGAACCATATATTTTCCAAATCAAACAAATCTTCTTTGATATGCAAACTGCATCACTTCTAGAAAGTCTATACAACAACATCACCATAGAAATGGGACTCTAAAGTGCAATAAATCTCTTATTGAATGATTACTTGAGAAAAATGAATACCAACACCAGCATGTACGACAAAACCTTAATAGCTAGCCCACACCCATATAATTTTTTTACAAATACAGTTCAAGTGACACCCTAACTCTCCCAAGGTAACTTATCCCTCAATTTGCATTGCCAAATCACCAAATATTGTCAATGATAACTCAGCAATTCCATTATGTTGAAATCTCTTTCTTCAAAAAATGTAAAGGGAGACGCCAACCTGTGAAATTTAAATCAAATAAAGATTACTATTTAATTTACCTCAAATAAGAAAATATTGGAAGTTTGAGATTACAATTCATCAGGTACAACTACAATGAAAAGTTGAGCAGACAAAGTTACATGATTAGTTAGCATCTACCATCACAAAGGATAAATGCCAATCCTTCAGAAACTTTATTGTTGATTTTCATAGACTGTCTTATTCAATAAATTGATGTATATTTCAGAAGTTAAATAATTCCAGCAGTTAAGGATTCCATGTTCGGTGATGCCAATATAAACCCCTCGATAAGTAATCAAATTTACATACTTGCATAAGATCCATAAATTTTTCAAATTTACACACTTGTAAACTTCATAATTTAGCTGAGTTTGTAAAGATTGGTAATTTTGTTGAGTGAACGTGTTTTACTAGACATATTACATAGATTAGTCCATTTCAGATGATAACTTGAGCTAATTAAAGTTAAGAATGACAATTAAACACTCTTTGAGACATTTTATCGAATAGATAGAGAGTGCAACAACATTTATGACAACCTAATCACTATACATTACCAAACAAATATGATAACAAATCAATAAATTCAAAGGACAACTGGATAATAAAACCTCCATGTCAGCAAAAAAGAACCATAAGCAGCACCATAAAACTTCAAAGAGTAGCATCTACTTATTTCAATCACCATCCAATATAATAAAACCCCCATTGTATGATATATGAGCTTGAAGATTTAGCACAAAAGAAATCAATAATTACCAAGCAACTTTGGTAAACCCATTAAGACATCAATAAATCGCAAGTTCTTTAAATTATTAGCAAAAAGAAACAATGAACCTTTTCATTTAATCAGTCTTCCAAAATCAAATTTTCTTTGTAATAATTGGTTTGTTTGGAAAGAACAGAATGGTAAAGCCTACCTGATTATATCCATTTATGTGTGTATGAGAGAGAGGGGTAGCCATAGTTAGATCTGAAATAAAAAAAAAACCCAAAACATCTGTCAATTCCTTTTTCACATAAGAGCCAATAAACTTGCACCTACAAGCTCTATATACCTTATTACATGTATATAAGTGATTAGGTCGATGGTAGCAGCAAGGATTTTACAACTTAGATGAATACTAAAAATCAACGAATATCTAGGTACGCACTCAAGGCTGACAGATCTGCTTAACAATAAAAACCAAGCATAAGCAAGAGGGTTAAATCCAAAACTGAAAAATCTCTAATAACCCCACTTTTGTCATAATATATGAAGTATACTTTAGTAACTTACAAAGTCATGAGTAAAGCATAAATTGAACCTCTCTGTTATACCATTCGATAAAGAAACCACCATGTTTTTTATATCAGATCTGAACTCTCCCCAGAAACATCTCTTGCTAGGTTTAGACAACTATAACGGTACACATGGATGTTGTTGCATTTAGAAAGAGATTCTCTCATCTCAATAGCATCTCACAAAGGTTTTGGGATTTTCAGAACTGACTAGCCAATAACTCCAGTCTGCAACCAAGGGACGAATG